ATGTGTGTGTGGTGTGTTGTGTTTATCTATTATATGAATGGTTACATGTATTCACACATAGAACACGACACTCACTTACACACAACCACACGACACACACCGACAACACAGACACACGACACAAACACACACACACACACACACAACAACACACACACACACACACACAACACACACACACACACACCACCCACACACCACACATAGCCAACAATATATTACGATAGATCAGTGTAGATATATTGACTATATATAGTATATTAGAGTAGATTTTAAGAATTAGATTAATTTGACAGTGAGATTTTTTATATGTACTAGTACGAGTTATATATATGTGAATATATATATAATATAATATATATAGTAAAATATCAGTAGTATATAGATATATAGATATATATATGTATATAGGAGCTGTAGTTACGAACGACACACACAACACACAGACACACAACAAACAGCGACACAAACGACAGCACACACAGCACACAAGGCAAGACGACACAACAACCACCACGACACACAGCAGACATAGGATAGTAAGAGAGAGCAGTAGAATAAGATATAGCAGGAGAGATCAAGAGAGACTGAAAGTTAAGAGAGATATATTATAACGATAATATGAAGATATAATATATGAAATGCGATAATATAGATATAATAAGTAAGATATAAAATAATAGATTTATAAGTAATATATGTATATATAGAAATAAATGACTTGTATATATAGATAGATAATATACATATAATAGTAAAAGGTAGTATAATAAATTTCATACTATATATAATAATAGAGATAGATAAAGATAAGATATAGCATGAAAAAGAGATAAGACATTAATATAGCTAAAGTAACAGAGAGCATAGATAAAGTAAGAGAAAGAGAGAGAAGAAGATAGAAGAGCATATAGAGAGAGTGAATAGAGAAAGAGATATATATATAATAAATGAGCTGAGAATATATATAATAGTATAATATATAATATAGAGTTAATATAGATAAGATATAGATAGATATAGTATAATATTAAATTATTTATATATACCATACCAATAATAATAATATATATAAATACTATAAGAGAGACTAGATATAAATTATATGATGAAGTGAATGAGAGTAGGGGTAATATATTAAGCAGATAAGATTAAATATGATAAGATGTATAAATATGAAGATAGGAGAAGCAGAGAGGGGGAAAGAGTAAAGAGAGAGAAGTATATAGATATGAGATTATAATAATTATAAGAGAGAAGAACGAGAAGAAGAAAGAGAACAGAGAAAGAGAGAGCGGGAGATGAGAGAGATCGAGAGAGAGACCGAGAGAGAGAGAGATACTAATCACTGACTGGGAGAAAACTGATCATAGCATTGTAGGTAATGAAAAACTACATTAATTTCTATCAGAATTTAACTGTAGAAGCTAATATGGTGCACAGAATGCTGTGTGGAGACCATGTTCCCATGTGCCTCCAACGATGAAGTTCAGCCTTCCTCGCGGTAAATAACATACCCTAACAAAAACTGACTTGGCACATGTAGCTTGTGATGTCACACCCAATTTCTTAGAAGTACTAGGATGTATTTCTGTACTCTAATGTATATGAAATTTTACAGAAATACGTGTTTATTTGTTCATTCATAAAATACAATGTGATAGATTTTATCATACATGTTACATTCATAACTGAGTATGCACTGCCCTCTCCCTGCAAATTTGACAGTTCTGTTGTCACAGTTTTTATTGTTTGTTCTAAAGGTCATTTGTTTACAGTGGTACTTGTGCTTCATAATTTTTTTTCCAATTTTGTGGTCAAATCGATCCCTCACTGAAATTGTTAAAATATCAAGGATAACACTAAATTCAGTGAAATAAAATAACTCTGTTACAGCTAAAGAATTTTGTTAGCAGTTTGTTACTTCCCAGTCATTCTCCCCCCGACCTTAAAGTAAACTCAACTTGTATTTCTATATACAGTTGTTGGCGATCTACAGGGGTTTCAGTAGGCACCAGTAGGGAAATATTGCATCGGGAGGGGTCCAGGGCAGAGCCCTCAGTAAGGAAATATGGCAATCGGGAGGGGGTCCAGGGGCATAGCCCCTAGGTTATATGTTACTGGTTCTTGGTTCATATGGCGATCCTTCTGATAGTTAATGTTTTTAAGATGTGGTTCACTCACTTGTTAGTTCCAGTATACTGTGTTGAATCATCTGTGGCCGAATCTTGTCTTGAGTTTTTAAATTTTCCACTTTTCTTATCATATGAAATACTATTCTTAGTTTGGATTTTCCATTTCCACATTCTTTTGCCTTTTAAAATGCCTGGTATGAACTAAATCATCACCCCCAACCTCGATTCTCCATGGGATCCCCCAACATTGTTGGCAAGAGTCAGGGACATCATCTCTGATGGCTGTGGTCCTGTTGTAAAAGTATATCTCACATTTTGCTGAGACTTTCAAAACTAGGAACTATGATCTGCAGACTTTCATAGAAAGGGATGCTATATTTGTAGAGTTTCAGTGTTCAATTTTCAAAAGTTTTTCTGGAAGGTTTACACGTTTTCATTTAACGTTTACTTCATGATATACTTCAAGCCCTGCCTACTATCAAGACTATCAAATTAAGATGGGTCACTCTATTGTTATAACATCAATCAAGATGTCTATATATCAGTGGTATAACTACTATCCTCACAGAATATCAAAACCTTACCCAAAAATAGCCACACTGGTCTTTTATAATTTCTGAAACCAATTTATAACTAAGTTGGCTTTTGGATAAATGTTTACAACAGGACAGCATCCATCAAAGACAAAGTACCCAACTCCCACCAACAATATTAGGGGATCCTGCAGTGAATCGGGGGTGGGGGTTGATTTCGTTTATACCATGCATTTTAAAAAGCAAAAGAATGTGGGAAATTGAAAACCCAAGCTAAGAATAGTATTTCACATGATAAAGAAAGTGAAAAATTAAAGAACTCAAGACAAGATTTAGCCACAGATGATTCAACACAAGTAGAAAAACAAACTTCACCTTTGGAAAAATGAGAACTGTAACAACATAACTGTCAAATTTGCAGGGAGAGGGCAGCAATGTACAAGTATGTATGTACCATGGATTTCTAATGAAAATATGGTACGTATATAAAACCAATCACATTGTGAATTTAAGGAATAAACATTTATTAAGTGCAAATTTCATTAAAATTTCAAACAAATCGGAATACAGAAATACATCATACATCATGCGCTACATGTGCCAAGAGATTATGTCGCGATCCCGCACAGTTAAGTTGTTCGCTGCAATGCGAGGAGGGCTGGAATTCATCACTGAAGGTGTGTGGATATTCTGTATACCCTGTATATCCACCTTATTAGCAATTCCTGCCAACTTCTAGAAATCATAACATTAAGAACTGGCTGTGTGAGGTTGGGGACTGCTTCTGAGCAGTGATATCCAGCAGATATTTTCATCATTTCATGGTAAATATCAAGCCGCAGAAGCTGTCCCTGGGTTATTTATTACTAATTCTTATGCTCTATAAGATGGCAGTGTCCATTTTCCCCACATTATGATGTGGCTGAAATTGCATTAACCAATACCCAAAATCTGTGTAGACCAAGAATAATGGTAAAAGTTATGAAAACAGGTGTGTGGCTGGGTGGGGATCCACAGGTGGAGCCCAGATAGCAAAACACAGCGATCAAGTGGGGGTCTGGGGGGGAAAAACCCAGGATAAGAAGGATAAGCATTAATATGGGAATGTTTGTAGATTCTTAGGAGAGCCCCAAATGTTGCTGACTGGAGTAATAGGGGCTTAGACTCAATGTATGTCACTTTTGGGTTCATCAAGCAGCAACCTACCTGAGGAATCATCCGACTCCGATCCGTCTGAAGAAATAGACTCGTCTAGGGAACTCCCGTCACTTTCAGACTCTTGATCTCCTTCTTCATTTTCACTCTCATGATCGTCTCTTTCACTTTCTCGAACTCTCTTCACACCAGGCATGTCTTCTGTATGCAACACATATACCTTACTGTAGGTTTATACTGACACACTAAGAGGCACCGGTCCTTCCAGCACAATTCGGAAGTTGCATTGTACTTTTTGAAGTAACTAAATCATTTAATTTTACATAGTGAAATCCCTTTTGAGTAAAAAAATCTGATCTAGAGATCAGACCTCTTTCGGGCCATATATTTATGAGGTGAGAGGAGCGCGCTTCCTTTCAACTGGCTCAGCGACCGAACTGTAAACAAACAAAACTTGCTGCTTGGTTCTGTTTGGGAGTTCATCTTTCGCTAAATAATTTATAAATTTTCGTTATATCATTTATATGATGTGTAGAGGATGAATATATGAACTGAATATATATATATATATATGTATATTTATATATTTATATATAAATACATATAAATTGCATATGTGTATGTATATATATATATATATATATATATATATATATATATATATATATATTATATATTATATATACATATATATACATATATATATATATATATATGTGTGTGTGTGTGTGTGTGTGTGGTGTGTGTGTGTGTTGTGTGTGTGTGTGTGTGTGTG